ATGCATGAGATATCGTAACATTTACAACAAATGCACCGCTTGGGATTTCACTTTAATATAGAAACAATTTATTCATAAATATATCCATATAACCATCTTATTTAGGCGCCATCGCAAGACGCCATCTGGTTGATCTGCCTCCGCAGGCCGGAGCCTTCAGGGAGTAGCATCTGACTTTCGTTTCCTTCGACGCGACATCCACTACCTACTACTATTACCATATAGTATCTAATATACCGCATATAATATTACTAAACAACTCTCTATTACGGATGGAGGGGCTTCAGACTGATACACACTTATCGTGAACTTATATTCCCAATCAATGATTTTAGCCACCTTACCACCACAGTAATGCTGCGGGAGGAGGAAAAGGAGCAGACCCGAGCTTACGATATCCGTTACCAGATTCATGTCGGCTGCACAGGAAACACAATTAATAAATATCTATATGCATATAGATATAGAAAGAGAAAGAGAGAGATATACGTGCGTTCAAATTGTTAGCAAGTAATATCGAAGTAGTAATCTCCATAGCAGAGAGTCTTACATCTCTCTCCACAGAGATACACATCCGCGTGCATTGAAACACACCAGCGGGGAAAAGGGGTTCATTTGTCGTCGAGCCCTTAGGATTATCTGCGCACTTTTGTGTCTTATTTATCTTTATTCTTTGTGTATGTTCTGGTTGTACAACTTTTCTTGAAATATTTTTTAGGCTGCATTTATAGATTAGATAAAACCACGTTTTCGGAACTTCTCATCTTGTAGAACTTGTGCGTGTTTCAGTTTAATTCATCGATGATAAGGAGGTTGTGGTGGATGTGCTAAGGTTGAAGGGATGTACTCTACTAGATCAAAAGATATTTCCTTGTCAGGTGGTATGTGTTCATGAGGATGGAGTAGCCACTTTCGCTGAGATTAATCACTTACGGTGCCCTGTAATCCCAAGTAACGCCATCTTCGCTTTGTTTTCCTCTCGCTTGTTCGTTACCTTAATGAAAGTGATTTGCTCTGAAAAAAGTCGCCATGGACAATTGTCCTCACTAGATCCACTTCTAAGTTGTAGCACTCCGGCACGATCGTATAACCTCCCCCTATTCTTATTGCTGTTAGCGACGCTACTACCATTTAATTTCGGTTTAGCGTCGCCCACATTAGTCGTCTGACAAAATTAAGCGTCATTTGCCTTATGGATCTCGTCAGCCCCGCCAAGTAGATTTTTGGAGTCTGAAAAGGATTACCTGTCGTATTAGAGTATTTATTAGCCATCAAAATACCTTACCTTCACGGAGAGAGATACTACAGCGGTTGAAAACGATGCTGCCAGAGCCTACAGTCTTTTCAATCGACGGTATAAAACATTAGGAGGGGCGATACCTTTAGATTCCTACGAATTTTAGATTCATATGTAGACAGAAATAATACCGAGAGCATTAAAGAAATATGATTCAACCAAGAGAGTTGGTGGTAGGAATGAAGCACGAGGTCCACCACGTGTAGTTTGTGTTTTCACTCTTCCTTACTATTTTTCCCACCTACCTAATTTTAAATATTCACGACTTATTAATCGTTTGCAGCATTCATTCAGCCGTGCCCCTATCCCAGGATCTACAAACCCCACAAAACATGAAGCTTCCATTCAACCCTGACGTCCCATTTATGCCTTTTATGCATATCTAACGATGTGTGCGTGTGTGTGTATGTTTAGGAGGGCTCCATTTTTTTTTCCAAATAAGAAAGCATATAGGAGGAGATAATTTCTTGCTTACAATAAATAGCTTTCTTAAAGAAATTGTTCAATACAACGCCTTTTTGAGGCGTTGATCCGCTATCAATTGCTCCTCGGTTGAACCAAAGCGATACGCAAGGATCCGAACGTAGCCCCACACATCACGCTGGTTGCGTAGAATCCTTAACATCGATGTATCCAACATATCTATAACCTTTCGCACTTTGGATGGATCGCAATGAAGCTGCCCTAGCACCCGAAGCACCTGATCATCGCTTGAGGATTGCGTTAATCTCGCAGCGAATATTTTTTTCCGTATGATGCCGCTAACACGTTGCTCAATCCACCCAGGGAGTTTATCCGACCACTTCTCAAACGATGCTGGTTCATCCAGAGCACTCCCCACGTCTCGGACGAGGTGTGCTCTTCGCATGCAATCCGCACCAAGCAACAAATTATACAGCCCCGTCTTCTCCAAAACGTTGGAGAAGAGCTCAATATCCGACATCGTCGGCGCCCCCTTCGTGATCATACTGCGCTCAAAAAGATAAATAAACTCGTTATAAACCTGCACGGCGGCCTTGGCGAGGGCGGGAAACTCCTCTTCCCGCATCAACTTCCATCGCTGCGGCGCCGCGATGGCGGCAGGGGGATCCTCGCCCTCGTTTCGCGCCTCGTCCAGACCGAGGTCGCCGGCGCCGTCCGCGGCGGTGCCCTTCACCGCCGCATCGCGCGCGGCGAGAAGGCCGAGGACGCCGGGATACCGCTCCGCATCCTGCCGCATCGCGAGGACGATGGTGTACTCCAGCATCACCGTTGCCAGCCGCGGCGGCACGACGCCGAGCCGGACCAACCGCTCCATTTGCACGCACATGCGGTGCAGCACCTCGCGAAGGCGGAGCCCCGCGGTCGAGGTCGGGGCGAAATGCCGGGCCAGCGCGTAGAGCAGCTCCGCGAGGCTGACCAGC